CAGTGACAAAGATAATTTACATTGGTGATACCGGGTTATCTCATGACAGCTTAGTTATTGATGTGTAATGCAGCTGCAAGGGACAAGAAGTTCAGCTCTGGCAATGTAATGAGATGAGCGATAAGAGACAACATGATTAAAAAGAAGCAGTGGTCTGGGCAAATGTACGGGAAATTTGCAGGTAATCTCACCTATCTCCAAGGCCTGCACTGACCTAGATGTTTGTGTGCATGCACAGCCAGACAGATTATGGAAGGGTGACTGTTCTATTCAGTAGACCAGACAGGGTAAACTCCTCTTCTCTTTCCCTTCCTCTGCATCCTCCTCCACAATGAGGAAAGGTTACAGCATTGGGGACTTTTTAGATTAGAAGAACAGACCATAATAAAAGTGTGTAGGAATCTTCATGGTGTGGAGAAAGTAGGCAGAGAGATGTTTTTTCTCTCTCCTAATATTGCAGCCCAATGAAGCTGAATTTAGGACAGACAAAAGATTGTTTGCCCCACACAGTGCCTAGTTAAACTACAGTTTGCCCTGACATGATACCATGGAAGCCACCAACTTGGGTTGCATCACAAGAGGATTAGACAATTTTAGGCACGCTAAGGCTATGTGCTACTTCCACTGCCAGAGACAGTATGCCTACAAATATCAGTTGCTGAGAATAAACAAGTGTGGAGAGCGCTGTTGTCCTCAGGTTCTGCTTGAGGGCTTTGCACAGGCATCTGGCTGGCTATTGTGAGAGCAGGATGTTGGGCGAGGTGGACCTTCGGCCTGATCTAGCAGGGCTCTTCTCATGTCCTCTCCTCTGTCTTCTGGACCTAGACATGCCATCTTTCTCTACTCGGAGCCAATTCTTGTACTTTCTGCATCCCTTGCCTACCTTATTGTGAGCTGCATCCCTCTTACGACCCCCCCCCCCCCCCGAAGAAGCAGGCTCTTTGGGTGTGCTGTCAGCAAAAATAGGTCTGGGCAGCTGCCAATTTAATTTCCCAGAGTGAAGCTACACCATAGGATTATGTGCCACCTGATGCCAATTAGAGTGTCCCTGCTGCTGCCGCCGCCGCCACCACAGATAAGCTTGCCAGGGATCACTGATACAGGATGTGGGAGGAGGTCCTCCAGAGGGCACTTTGTGGAGGAGCTAGTCCTGAGCATTGTATCCATTGTTGCCCGTCAGCTTTCCATAGTAGTGGTATAGAAACCACAATGTGATTACATTCCAAAATAGCACAAAGCTGTATTTTGGGCATGAACACCAATATGAAAGTGAGAATTAAAACTTCTGAAAGGAGGGAGGGACTTTTGTGTATACAGGAATCTAGAACCCTGATGGATGGTGAAAATCGTATTAATACGAAAGAAGATACAATAAACGTACAATCAATAAATCAAAACTATATTTATTTATTTCATAAAATTTATATACTGCTTGATTGTAAAAGGAAACTCCCCAAACAAGAGCAAGATCACAAAAATAGATTCCAGTCACACCACATGTGCGTTCATGAGTTGCATTCATGCTTATCATCACAGACACGGCTCCTGAGAATTCCACCCCCCTCAGCTAGTCGAATTTCCCACCTAGGATCAAGCCAACCCCCAACCAATTGTCCACGGGGAGTGCCCTTGGTCTTATCACACCCCAAAAGAGTATCTTCCTTCTAGTGTCTTCCACTCCTGGGCCATCCCACTGGGGCTGGCCTGCCAGCAGTGACCTACAATCAATGCAGCCTCCAAATAGACAGGCTTCCTTCTTGGGAGCCAGCTGCAACTGGTAGCAAAGTTGTTGCTGTATTTATTTGTTTATTTAATTTATATCTCACCTTTCCTTCAATGAGCTCAGAGCAACAACGCACATGGTTCTCCTGTGGAAGTTGCCCCGCCCTGGACAGCTCACTGGGTTACAGCATGGTGCTGAGAAGGCCAAAGTTGCAGGTTCCAACCCCATGTGGGATGGCTGAACATTTCTACATTGCAGGGGTTTGGACTAGATGATCCTTCCAACTCTTACAATTCTGTGATTCCCTGTCCTCAGGTGAAACACCCCCCCAAGAAGAAACATTGAGGGAATCCAAAAGAGTCTAGATAAGTCTAGTGTGCTTTCTCAAAAGAATTTTGCACGGCCCCTAAGCTCTTTTTTCATGGATGGCTCTAAAAATATATTTTTTTTTAAAAGCAGGAGCGGGTGGAAAAATCAGTAAAATAGTTGACGTCTTTCGGATTGAAATGCTTGAATGAATGGAAGGAATACAGTTAAAGGCACAATGCTGAAAATCCTTAAAAGTTGGAAATGTTGTGCAAGATATGCTGATAAAAGTTGGGCAAGATTTTCTGTGTTGCTCAAACCAGTGAAGTTGGTGCTTGTCCCCTAGTTTATTGGAGGCTGCTTTACAGACAAACTGTAATCCTCCCCCTTTCTGCCATTACTCTTTCTGACAGCATCTCCTGTGTGTGATGAGCTTGTCACTACACATGCCTTGGCTCTCTGGAGTGTTCGTGTTGCTCATGTTGCAGTCTGTGCAGTAGGTTTCCTGACATGTGTCCCCACTGGAAAAGTGAGAGAATTAAAAACATAAAATATTAATCCAAGCACTGAACAAACAAATCTGTATCAGGTGGCCAGCATTGTCTCCCCCCCCCCCATCGCAATTTCATTGTGTGTTAGCTTAAGAATGAACATGTTCCTCTCAGTGGGATGACTATATAGAGAGTTTGTTGAAGTTATTGGCAATGCAAGAACTTGAGAAATGGATCCCCCCTGTCTGTGTGTCTCATGTATCTGAGAACTTTCAGCATGAATTTGGGTGGTAGTGTTTAATGGTGCCGGCTGCAGCAGCAAGAGGGCCACTCAAAATCTGACAAATACTAGCATCTATGAATGTGTCAGAAATTCATGGGAGTGCATCCTTCTTGGAGCTCCTCTCCCAGCTACTGGCAGTTGGCAGCCTTCATTTTATTTTTATTCTCAAAGCCTCTGTTCTGTAGCATTGCCTCCCTGAATTCCCCCTGCCATTGGTTGAAATGCTTCTCCCTATGTGAATGGTTGACTCTCCACCAGCCGGAGTGAGCACTGCACCTTGCTTTTGTTGCCACCAGGGGCAGTGTGTCCTGCTTCGCCACTTGAGGCAAAACAGGAAGTAGTGCCTTTCTGTACCCTGCTGCTCCCACCACCGCCGCCATACCTGTTGCCACCAGCACTGCTTCTCTTCACGCCCTGCCCCTTCCGCAATTTTGGGCGAATTTCTCATGAGATCTTGTGTGCTTCTGTATTATTTCGACTGAAATCAGTGTTGATACCAGTGGCATGCCAGTGCCAGAGGCAGCAGGGCACTCGCCGGGTTGCCACCTTGGGGGCTTGTGCTACCTGAGCTAGTTGCCTCAGTTTGTCTAATGTCAGAGCCGGCTCTGTTTACCACCATGCTAGCTTTCCAGAGGAGAGAACTGTTGTCCATCCCTCTGCTGCCCTCCTGCTCCACCGCTGCAAGTGGACAGAGGGTGGTTTTGCAGCTAGCTGCTCAGCAAGGGTCAGGTGGCACAACAAGGGACCATCCAGCTCCACCTTGTCCCATGAAGTTGCTGGTCATCTCTTGGTTAGTGCTCATGACCTGCTTTCAGGCTTCCCATGGGTATGTGGTTGCCCTATGTGAGAACTAGATGCTAGACTAGATGGGCCTTTGGTCTGATCCATCTTATGTCTGATCAATTTGTCACTCAGGCACAGCCTGACCTCTCGGATTGTCCACTGTAGGACGGTCTGCTGACCTGTTGATTTGTATCAAACCTGCAGCCCTGACACTCTGGGCATTATGTGGCCCTCCCTACTATTAAGTTTGCCACCTCATGTAACCGCTACAATGGATAGGGGCGCAGATTCCCTGTACAGAGCTGACAGACCTCACATACACAGTAGACAGTCCCACTATTGTGGCAGCTTTTATGTTTCCGTCACAAAATAGCACTCGTTAGTGATGTTTAGTTTGGGTGTGCTGGGTATTTTACTCCTTTTAGTTGCAGATTTTGTAAGTTTAAGTTTAAGAGTGTGGGGTGGGTGGGTGTAAGAAATAGGTCATCCTTCTGTTTCTTCCCTTTTATGGAGAATCCACCATGATGATATGACACAGTGTGACCTGTAGAGTGTATCAGAGAGTTTTTAAAGGAGAGCAAGAGGCTAGCATGTGACTCCCCAAAGCAGATGCCAATATATTGTTAATACGAGAGAACAGCGACTGAACTGGGATTTCACAAATCAGAGCAGAAAACGATTCTACTTCCATGGAAAGATGATGAATTGTGACTGCAGGTTGTTTTTTTAATGGTCTTGCAACACACCAGCCACTTTTATGGAAGTGCCAATGCTCAGATTAACTCATTCTGATTTTCTTGAGTGAATGAAGAGGATATTTCTGTCAAACTGTATTGTGGGAGGAGAAACAGAGAGGAATTGTTTGTTTGACTAGATATGAAACATCTGCAGCCATAATTGCTGATGCTGTATGAAAGTATAATGCTTGCTTCCAGTAGCAGAACTTTGTAGAATGCTGCTTGTGGAAAACAACAGAATGAAAGCAGAAGTTATTTCTTTTCATTGATGGTTTAGTTGAGATCCCTGTATTCCAGTGGGTTGGGCTAGATGACCCTCATGGTCCCTTCCAACTCTACAGTTCTATGATTCTATGGTTCATCTGGATATAGTAACACTATCTTTAGCAAATTTTAGACACTATCTTTAGAACTCTGGGTTCCATATGGTGTCCTTGCCACAACCCACTGTTGGGGTTGATGGATGCTTTACTGCAAACCGCTTGAAAAATTCACTTCCACCTGGCAGAGACTCCACATGAACATGTGTGCAATGCAGAGAGGTATTTATCACGAAGATGTTATGATAAGCACAAAGTCTGAATTGCATGGAGAATCCTCATGCAGCTGCCCGCTTCTGTTGGGAATGTATTACAGTGAAATCTCACAGTGTTGCCTTTAGCCATTTGAGAGGAAAGGCTGTAGCTCAGGAGTAGGGTATCTGCTTTGCATGCAGAAAGTTCCAGATTGAATCCCTGGCATCTCCAGGTCGGGCTTAGAATGTCCCCTGCCTGAAACCTTGGAGAGCTGATGCCAACTAGCTTGGACAATACTGAGCTAGATGGACCAAAGTTCTGACTCAGTATAAGGTGGTTTCTTTGTTCCATCTACAGCTTGCCTTTGAGGATGTTCCCTTTCTCTCTGGGAAGCTTCCCCCTTCTCATGAAGCCTATGAATAATTCCCACTCTCTGTGACTTCTATAGAAAGAAAGATGACTGCAGGGCGACAGGGTGTAGGAGAAAGCATATATTGCTCTCATCCCACTCCACCCCAGAAGTTCCAAAATGGGAGAGAACCGAATATGTGTCTGCGGGGAGAAGAGTCATAAGACTAATTCCATCCACTACCACTGGTGATGGCACCGATACCACAGCGAGGGGTGAGGCCAAAAGCAAGCTCTTACTAATTCTTGGGTTGGATTTGGACAATAAGGCAATAAGCCTGGTATCAGGCCACCAGTGTGTTGGCAGCTTATTAAACCATGGAACCACCACTTTTAAGGAGAACTACAAAACTGAGCAGAGTTTAAATTGTTTTCATTCCAAAAGATTCTGAGTTGAACTCTTAGAGGATACATGCCTAGTCATCTGTTCATAACAGCCTTTGCATATACGAGCATCTGCAACTAAACCATGACCAGAGCCAGATGTTAAGTAGCAGGGAAGTATTGGTGGTTTTTGTTTGCTGCTATAAGCTCTTTTTCTTTTCTTTTCACCCCTCAAAGCACATGTTTTGCATATTAATCAGCATACTGCAGCCAGCCACAAGAGGAAACTGGATTCCCTCTTTGCTTTTTGCACATCAGTATCTTTCTGTAAATCAGTATCTACCATCAAATGTAGTTCTGAAATTTAATAAATATTCATCCAGTTTAAACATGGTAGACTAATGGGTTGCCTGGCTAAAATATGTCTCTGTTCTGTCATCTCCTAGTTCAGCAACCACCAACTTCTCTGGCTTGGTGGGAGGCAGGAGGTCAACATCTCCCTGGTCAAACAATCTTCAGACATCTGGGCTGTGCTAAATTGGAAGTGGAACTGCCAGCAGAATTAGTGGAGGGGAGTTCCATAGACTCTGGCTGCCATTGGATCTGTGGGTTAACTGTTGGTCATGTATCTTGCCAACCTTGCAGAGACCACAAGAACACTATTCCACTTCGCCTAATTTCTAATATATGACCCACCTAGTTTTGTGCTTGATTCTATGATTTAAAACCAAATCATACTCATCTCTTTGATAATGAAATTTCAAAGACTCTGGCTGAGTGTTCGTGTTTTGCCTAGTGGCTTACCTGTGTTAGTATTCAATACAGCTTGCAAGTATTAAGGAATGAAAGAGAATGATAGAGAATGGAAATTGGTAGCATTATGATGTAGTAGGAATGGGAGACCCTTGGATCTCCAGATTTTGTTGGACTACAACTCCCATCATTCATCTCTTTTATTTATATGCTGGTTTCACACAGACACATCATAGCTGATGGGAAGTTAAGTTCTCTGGTGGGGGATTCATGAGGGCTAGAACAGGGATTTCCCCTTTATTTATTATTATTATTAATAATAATTTTCCCCAGACAGGGACAATGTACCTCAAACATTTTAGATTTGGGCCATGTGACATTCTTTACACCTTTGACTGTATGTGGGCTTAAAAAACAAGATTCATACTATCTGTTACTACTATCGAAGAATTTTTTTATATCATACACATCGTGTTCCTTTATCTCACTAATATTATGTTTAATGCCTTGCATTTCTCTGACTATTATTACCCCACATTTATGCTGCCATCTGGCACTGTTCTTCATGTATAATAGGGAATTAATGTATATCATTACAGATTTTTGAACAGCTAGTTATAGGCAATGGCTTAATGCATGAAATAAACTAATCTCTAAAGGTCTCTCCCTCTCTCTTCCCCCCACCAAAAAAAATAGCTTTAAGTCCTTCTGCCAAAATGTCTTTTGAAAAAAAAGAGTATTCTGCTCTTTGGATAATAGTTTGTGAAACCTGTTTCCTAGTTATTTCTTTACAGTCAACAAAAATGCATTCAAAACAATAATTAAGGAGACTTTTTGGCATGCAAGCATTTTCCTTTGAGTATCTAACTATGGTAAGCAGATGTTGATTTTATGTCATTTAATTCCCCTCTCCAGATTAACAATGATAGAACTTCTTTGTTTTCCATTTTTAAAAACCCTTATAATATCATGTATGTATAAGATAGGACTACAGATATGTTTCTTAGATATGCAAAATGGCAAGCTCTGAAATATTTCAAAGATACATTGGCCAAAAGCCATGCAGAGATTGTATGTAGAAACTCAGTGAGATGATTGGGCTTCCATCTGTCTTGAGAGACAATGGAGTGCGCCTCTGTGGGTGAAGTCAATCTGGAGTGTTAGCAGCACCAAAACCAGGCGATTCAGGTGTCCCTCTTGGGGAAAGGTAGTAGGCACTTTTCATGGTAATGCAAACTGAAACACAATCTAATTACTGGTGGAAGAGGTCCTGGGCTGCCCAGAGAGCAATACATTTGGCACCAGCTTGGCTTCAGGAGTTCATGGAAGGAGGTGTACAAGGTGACATCCAACCATTTTAGGGACTCCACTGCGGATTTGTGTAGGGTTTACACCTTAACCTTTTCTTCTGAAGATATCCTGCAAGGCAGTGGAGGTTTATGATCAGAGTTTTCCTGCTGCTGGAAACTGCTGGAAACTACCCCACATTCTTGCCCTCTGGAACCAGCCCTGACTTGTCATCCTCCAGGGCAGGTAGAACCCTCCAACTATATGTAGGTTATGATCTGAGCAGTCAGTCAGTTTGGTAAGGGTCAGGGTTAAGGCCTCCAAATACTTTTTTTAAAAAACCAAAAACTTATTCTACTACTGACATTTTAGTGCCAATTTCCTTCATCTTTCACTGAGTGAAAAGTTAAATAAAAAAGAAATCTGACATGTCATGGATGCAAAGAAGTGTAAAGAGGAAGAAAGAGTGTGTGGCAAGGGGTGTGTGCAAGGCATCATCCAAAAGGCTTCAAGCATCTGACAGTGCAATTGCCTTTTGTTTCAATTTGAAGTCATGTCAGGATATCATTATGACTTGTCTTGGTGCTGCTAAGACTCAGAGTTGCACTCATGATGATTTTTCAAAACAACATTTATGAAGACATGTGCATTGTTAAGAATTGTCAAGACTACCAAGGAACTATGTCAGGGCATCTCGTCACAAACCACACAGGAAAGGCCTTGCTTCTGACAGTCTCTCTGCTATGTGGAGGAGAATCCATTTAAAAAACAACTATGTTACACTTATATCACCTTTCCTCAAAGAATCTTAGGGTCCCAGAAATGCTTCTACCCCTCCATTTGAATTTCACAACAATCCTAAGAGGTAGGCTACATTAAGGCACAGAGACTGGCCCAAGGACTCTCAGTGAACTTCATGGCTGAATGAGGATTTGAAGGCAGGTCTCTCCAGCCCTAGTCTGACACTCTAACCACTAGGCTCACCTCTTCCCTACTGGAAAGGGTTGTAGCTTGGTGGTAGAGCACATGCTCCCCTGGCACCTACAGTTAGGATTGGGAAGGACTTTGGCCTGAAATCTATCGGCATTTTAGCACACTATGTGCATCTGTATGCAATTTTGCCTAATATACATGTTTCTCCCCCCCCCCAGAGCAACTTCCCCTGGTGTAATGCATTTTTGTAGGTGCATTTTTATTCATATTTTGGCCCAGCATACGCATTCTTCAGTACTTTACTTGGTTGGAGAAAGGCATTGCAAAATTCAAAGATATGCAAAATTCAAAGTATGGCTGTGTTTTGGTTCACATATTGTTTTGGAAGTACAAGTTGGGTGGATTCACTTTTAAATGCAAATTGAACTGAATTTCTCCTCCTACGTTATTTTCAGCTGCTGCTTGGCCTGACAGCCAGGAAGTGCTTTATCCTCACTCAAGCTGAGACTGATACAGAATCATATACTTCAAAAAAAAATTCTATAACTGGAGTGTCTTCAAAATGAAATTCCCAGTTTAGGGGGGAAATTATTATTATCAATTTTCTTTACAATCATCATCATGTTGGTGATAGCAAGATGTGCCACTTTCCATGGTAACCGGTAAAAACCGTCTTTTTGAATAGCCACTTCATTGCTTAAACAATGATCTATAATAATCAATGCATGCTATTTGCCATCCTGGGAAACAGTTTAATGTTCTAGTAACCCCCCACAACCACCACCCCCCCAGAAATCATTTACTAAACATGCCTCCTGGAAAGCCTTTCGTAAACTTCTCTTGCAGAAAGCAAGAGAGGACAGGGAATGCTCCATGCTGATGTCATTCACTGGATACCCTCAATATCGTTAGGAATTCACCTAATCATGAATACCCTTGACAGGCTTTCTTGGCATTATACTTTCATTTTTATTTTTATTTAATAGACATGTATTTTGAAGAGCAACGTGTTCTCAGATAAACACAAACCCTGTTATATCTGCTTGCACTTATAAAGGTAAAGGTAAATAACCAACCCCTGGACGGTTAAGTCCAGTCAAAGGGGACTATGGGGTGCGGTGCTCATCTCACTTCAGGCCAAGGGAGCCGGGGTTTCTCCACAGACAGCTTTCTGGTTCATGTGGCTAGCATGACTAAACAGCTTCTGGCGCAACAGAACATTGGTACCTATTTCGGCCACGACTGGACCTAATGGTCAGGGGTCCCTTTACCTTTACTAGTCCTCTTTACTGCCAAACTGCACTAAGCTAAGTCAAGATTTGGTTTGGCATGTTGTCAAAACTGGGACCTGTGGTGGTTATGCTCTCTCCTCACCCAACATGAGCTGTAGGTGAGAAAGAACCTTGGTGACAGCTTGAGAGACCTCAACCAGGAGTCCCAGTTTTACCTAAACCTTGACTTAGCCTTAGCATAGCATGGTGCAGCTACAAAAAGGACCAAGAGGAGCAAAGCAGCTGTAAGCTCCTCTCCAGAAGTTCATACGTTCACATGGTCTCACTACGCCACTAAGGTTTGGTTTACTGTGTTGTGCAAACTAGGCCTACATCAAATGAAGTCTTTACTGGCCCCTAATGTTTTTAATTCATGCAGAAAATGTGTTCGTACATCTTCATGCCCCTTTCCAAGTGCCTTGCTTGACTGCTGGCAGTCTTAGCCATTAGCAACATACTGTGTTTCCTTTTTCACCCCAGATATGTCAGATAAACGCCACCTTCCAAAGGTGAAGTGAAAGTGAAATTCTTAATGAATTTTTAATTTTTAAACCAGTTCCCTTGTACAAAGGAGTCCCCTTGGATTTCACAAGCAATATCTTGGCAAGGTTTGTTATTTGTAAAAATTATCCAAGGGAACACATTACTGAGTCTCTTGAGCACAAAACACTAATATCTAATTTTAAAGCACATTTTTGCAAAATGTTAATTAGGCCATTTACAAAAATACACTATTAAATTTCCATTAAAGATTTTTTTTAGGGCGGGAGAGCTGCTCAGCCTTGAATGTATTATATTGGCCAATATTTCCTTCCTGGGAAAGTGATTTGTAAGGTGAATGACTCCTTTTCCCTCACCAGTAAAGATCACTGTATCCCTTTTCAGGTCTAAAAAGGGAGAAATAAATGTTCCTCTTGCTCCCCAAAGATGGCTTAATTAGTTTATACCTTCAATTTAATGACCAGTGTACATAATTTAAAGTGCAAATTGAGTTTATCTTCATCTACTGCTCTTTGACATTTAATGTATTACGTATTAGATTATAAACTGGGTGATGACTCAGTTGTTGCACCCCATATTATGTGGACACCAGTGGAGAATAAAGAATTCTGAATGGAGTGAAATGTTTGGGGGGGGGGATGTGAATTGTGAAATATTCCCTATCCCTACCTCCAAAGAAGCTCAACTGTGCCTTTTAAATCACTCCCTCCATGGCTTCTTCGTAGGCATCACAGTCATAGCAGAAATGAGTTGTAGTACAGAATCCTTGGGCAATGTGACAGCTTTTCCCATGCTGTGCTATAGTGCCAATTTTATTGTTTTTAGTTTTCTGCCATTTTGGAGAGGAGGAGTGAAGACTGTTGCTAAGAGATGTTGCTCTTGACTGTTCCGTCCTCCCTCCCTGTTGTCAAGAAGGGTTGCAAAGGGTACTCTGGGCTTCTGGACTCATTGGTCCTTCCTTCTTTTTCCTTCCCTCTCCATTATCGGAGACACCAGGTCCCTTTAATTTTTAAAGGGCAGAATTTGTGATTATTCAGAGATGTAATGAAATCAGAACAGAGGTATGAGAGGTGTTGGGTGATGGCTGTTTTTTGGGTGGGCTTTCTTCTTTTTTTAAAAAATAACAGGGTCATTTGGAAAAGTTGGGTTCCCAGCCAGGCAATAACTGGAAGTGTGCAGCTCAGCAGTTGAAAACTCTAATGAAAAACTGGCCATGGAAGTAGCATGGAAAGAAGGGGAGGAGGTGGGAAGAGACTGCCTCTTGCTGCAGAATTCATGGAAACTTTGAAGAATGCTGTTCACGAGCCCTTCCAAAATCAGTTCATTAAGCAGGCCAAATGTCCCTTTGGATTTTCCATGCATCTGGCAAGACCAGATTTTCGCCAAAAAAAAGCCATGGAACTACGTGAATAGCTCTCAGACATGGAGAATCAAAAGGTGCAGAAAGCGAAAGTATGGCTGGGTCCTTACGCTGACTCATAAGTTCAGGCTGTGAGATAAGACTGTTGGTATAAGAAATGATTAATTTATCTATAAGTCAGTGGAACATGGGAGTTTGCAGGTGTGTGTGTGTGTGTGTGTGCATGTTGAAAGTCAATTGCAACAATCTGGAATGACTTCCTCATTTGGAACAGCCCCATTTGCCTTTTTGACACCAATGATTCAATCAACTTACCTTTTTAATTACACCAGCACCTGTTTGTTTCTCCTTAAGGGCAGGACATTTTCCATTCTCTGGCACAGACGAGGTGCTGACTATGTTTAAAATTAGCTTCCGTCCTCTGTCCTCTTGTGTTTTCTCCATAATGAAATGATAGCAGCCCTCTTCAAGAGCCATAACTTGTATGGTAAAGGAGCACAAATTGCTATGCACAGATTGAAGCTACCAGTATGCTTTTTTACTTTTCTTCTGTTCCTTTCCTATCTCCTACTTTCTCTCTGTCTCTGCCTCTTTCTCACACACATACACACCAGTTACGATGGGATATTTAAATATCCTCCCAGTTTCAGAAACTGAGAGAATATTATTTGGTTCCCTTTTAAAGTATTAACTTTTTTTTTTTTCTATTTGTCATATATCACCCTCCTTAGCTTTGCTCAATCAAATCATTTGTAAAGATGGGTCTAAATTATGTATATTTTTATGACAGTAATTTCTGATACAAGGATAAATACCTGTTGCTTTAGCATCATCTCTCTTTTTTATCCACTCCATTGATTGTGGTATTTTTAAGCTACTGCTTATGTAGATAAAAATGAAATCATTCAAATAAAGCTTATGTAGAGAGCAATCCTATTTGTTTTATTTTAATTTTTATTGAGCAAAATGTATATGCCACTTGATTGTGAGAAAAACTATAAGAGACTTACATTTTTTGGTTAAAAAAATAGTTAAAGCAGCTATGCAGAAACATTCAAAAGATGATTAAAACCAACAGTAGCTAAGAAGAGATAAAACACATGTTGAGCACCCTGAAGCCCATGAGATATTATCAAGGTAGCTTCACTGATAGAAATGGCAGTGGTGGAAAGATTGCTGAAAGTCCAGCATAGGGGACACAGATAGGGTGGTTTGTGGGAGGGGGGTCAGGGTGGGCCAAAGATGTGCAGGTATTTGGGCTCCATTATAACCTGGACATATCCCCAGAGTTAGAAACTACACCAGCCCAAGGACTGGTAAATTCCATCTCTTTGGAAGCAGTGGCGGCGGTGGCAGGGGGAACTGCCCCCCTCTGTCTTGCACTGGCTGGCATGAAGCAGCAGAGCTTAGGCAATGGTAGTAATTTTGCCCTGTATCTCACCCTGCCCCGATGCACATATGTGCTTACACACTGGTAGGATTGCTCTGGAAATGTTTGCACAAAATGCAACGTCTAGGGGTGAGTTGGCACACTATTGTAGATCCATTAAGAAGATGTGCACACTATGCCCTTATCTCCAGCCAACAAACGGCTACAAATGCAGCATGGTTCAGTTTCAGGACCACAGAGTCACTGCTAACCTTTGGGGCCACCTCCACTCTGCAGTGTCACCTAGTCCTCATTGCATCTTCCTTTGCCTTTATAACCTCTCAAGGGTCAGCTCTCTCTCTAAATGACAATAGCTGATGTCCAACCTGAACTTCTCTTTTAACACAACAGTTTTTGGTTTTTTTTGCTGAGAGACACTTATTATTTTTGTGGACTCTTCATTTATCACTCTGATTCTCTCCATTCCACAACACTTCTCAGAAACCATAATTGATTAGTTCCACCATTTCCTTAAGAAAAGATTATTTGCAGCCACTCATCTTCATTGATGTCACCTTAGAATAAAGCACTAATTAATCTCTGTCTGCCCTGTTAAGTTTTCAACCTAAACCCATAAATAAAGACAATAGTGATTAAAATCATTTGCACTTTAAATCTCTGGTCCTATAGATACAGAGAGTTGCAGTGGAACAGAAAAAAAATTACCTCTCTGTCTCTTTCTTGCCAGTGTGAGCTAGTGTAGTACAGCACATGCTTTATCTTCATAACATAGTAGGTTTGATCCATAAGATCGCCAGTCAAAAGGGTCAGATAGTTGGACGATGCAAAAGCCCTCTCTGCTTGTGTTCCCCAACAACTGGTATTTCAAGGTAGTACACAGTCATCTTGACAAGTGACCATTGAAACCCTGATCCTCCATGAATTTATCTCACCCTATTTTTAGAAAGTTGTCAGAGTCTTTAAAGGTCAGCAGCAAGACGACTAGTGACAAAAAAAGAGCAAAGCTAAGGAGTATTCCCATTGTACTTGTCTCCCATTCAGCAGTGGGGAGCATGAGATGGAATGGGGCAAGAAATCCCTGTGGTTGTTTTTGGTTGAATTCTAGGAAACGGGCGGCAATAAGGAGGACAGGAATAGTATGCCCTGAAGCAAAACGAAAGCTTCACCAGTGAGATAGCACAGAATAAAGTGCCAGTAGAAGTTTTTGGGCAGCAGCTCTCAATATCTTACTTGATGGAATAACACCCCTCACCACCATATAGGAGTATTATTCTCGTGCGGGTGTGATTTCTGGTTTGTTTTTGCTTTCTGTTCTGTGTTTTGTGGTGACCTCTTGCCACAGCGAATGTGTGACTTAAACTGTTTGCCTAAGGGCATTTCTGTAGGAGGGTGGACAGCCCGTTGTCTGAAAGATCATATTCAAAACACTGGAGGAAAGATAATGATTCTGAGAGAAAAATCAGTCTTCAGTAATCAAGCAAGGGTTGAAAGGAATGTATTAAGAGCAGATTCAGACAACTGCTAATGACATGGTAAATGCTTAAAAGCTGTCAGTTCTAGGTACCATCTGTGGATATCAATCAAGAAGTAGGACTTGTATTGCCAAGGGAACACACAAGAAGCTACTTTATGTCAATTCAAGCCATTGGTCCACCTAGTTCAGTAATGTCAACACCGACTGGTAACAGCTGTCACGATATTTAGCTGGTGATACATTGTGATGTTGAAAACCACATATTGCCCAGCCCTAATCTCCATTCATGCAAATGAAACCCCAGCAAATGTTAAAATCCTAACCCCTGTGGATCAGGCACACATAAGCAGTCACTGTATGGGCATCGTGGAAGGTTCTTAAACTCAGACGTGCAATCAAAGTATATTTTTAGGATCTTTCACCCAGCGGCATAGCGTGGGTTGTCAGCACCCGGTGCAAGGCAAGTAATTTGCGCCCCCTAACCCCTAACCTGCCGCCGCTGCCAGCTTCTTCTTGCTGCTGCCTGGGCTGGTCTCGTGTGGTTCTCTCCCGCGCTCAGCGCTGCGCTGGGCAGCCGCTGCACTGTCCCTCCCCCAGATAGTCCTTCGCTCTCTCTCCGCACCGCATGCCTGGCACCCACCCCCTCCACAGTGGGCGGCGACCCAGCGGCTCGGATCGGATTCGCACAGCCAGCACTGCAGTGAGAGAGAGTGAGTGAGCCAGGTAGGGACAGAGAGCTGCGAGTGCGAGCGCCCCCCCCCCCGATGTTGCGCCCGGTGCGGCCGGCACCCCCTGCACCCCCCACGCTACGCCACTGCTTTCACCTCAACTTTGCTAGCAGATTGCTGAAAACCGATGCAAATTTTTCTGAAAACATGCCAAGAGACTGCTAGTAAAATATTTACAACTAACTTTAAGATGGAAATATGTCTTCCTTATTGAGCTGTAACTTTGCTTTGAAATAGATTTGTAGAAGGAACAGATTTATTTTAGTACAAATGTCAAGCTGCTTTTGCTGTACATTCTCCAGGGGCTATTTTGTATTAATTTTTATTCAAAAGTGTAATTCTTTTTTTTAAAAAAATGAGGGAAAGAAGAGCAGCTATCTATCTGTCACTTCTATATTGTGCCCTTTTATTATGTGCTGTGACATATGGACGTTATTTATTTTGAGTTATTTATTACAAACTGTGTAATTCAAACATATAGGGTACAGTATTTCAGGCACTATATATGGGCTGCAGTTTAATGTTTTTCTAAAGATATCACCTGGGAAGATATCTATATCTATATGGCAGTTATTGAAAGTGGTTGGGTAGCATTTCCAGGGGAGAGATTATGGGAGAAATATTTAAAAACTCCTGTGCAATCTGGCTCCCAGAATCTACCCCCAAACCCCCAGCCAGCCTAACTTCCAGTCTTGGAACCATGAGGGGGAAAGAAGAGGTGTGTGACTTTGAGGAGAGGTTGTAGAGGAGAATCGGGACCCTCCAGATGTGCTTTTTTATTCTGCAATCATGATCATTTGTGCACCTAATGTTAGCCACATCTGCGCTATACATTTGAAGCAGTATCATACCACTTTAAACAATTCAGCCAAAGAATCCTGGGAACTGTAGTTTGTTAAGGGTGCTGAGAATTGCCAGGTGTCCCCCATTCCTCTCAAACAGCTGCAATTTCCCTGGGAAAAGGTACTGATTTTTAAACCACCCTAAAAATCGCAGCTCCGTGATTTATTCTTAGCACCTTCTACAAACTACGGTCTCCAAGATTTTGTAAGGGAAGGCATGACTGTTTAAAGCGATATGCTACTGCTTTAAATGTTCAGTGTAGGTATAAACAGCAGAACGTATCATTTGATGTAATAAACAAGAAATGGAAGCTGAGGGACGTCAACAGGGAGGGAAGAATGAAAAACTAATGTTTAGTATTGATATTGGATACAGTGGGTGCTCGGGTTGCGAACGTGATCCGTGCGGGAAGCACGTTTGCAACCCGCAGCATTCGCAACCCACAGCGCCACATCTGTGCACACACGGGTCGCGATTCGGTGCTTCTGCGCATGCGCAAAGCGCGATTTAGCACTTCTGCGCATGCGCGAACACTGAAACCCGGAAGTAACCATTCCGGTACTTCCAGGTTCGGCACTGTGCGCAACCCGAAAACGCACAACCTGAAGCGTCTGTAACCTGAGGTATGACTGTATTTGTTTTGAAAATGGAAAAATCAATAAAATCTTTAACTAAAAAAAATGTTCAGTGTAGGTGGTCCTGTATAAATATACCACTAATGCAGCATTGGGACATGGGTGGTGCTGTGGGTTAAACCACAGAGCCTAGGACTTGCTGATCAGAAGGTTGGCGGTTCGAATCCCCGCGACGGGGTGAGCTCCCGTTGCTCGGTCCCTGCTCCTGCCAACCTAGCAGTTTGAAAGCACATCAAAGTGCAAGTAGATAAATAGGTACCACTCCGGCGGGAAGGTAAACGGTGCTTCCGTGTGCTGCTCTGGTTCACCAGAAGCGGCTTAGTCATGCTGGCCACATGACCCGGAAGCTGTACGCTGGCTCCCTCGGCCAATAAAGCGAGATGAGCGTCGCAACCCCAGAGTCGGTCACGACTGGACCTAATGGTCAGGGGTCCCTTTACCTTAATGCAGCATTATTGCATCAATGACATCTTGCAGAATACAACCTGCCCCACCCCCACCCCCAAAAAAACCCCATTCACCAGTCTGGAGAGGCCCTTGACAATTAGGGAAAGTGGATTGTGACTCCTGTCGTTCCTGACCATTGGCCACGATGTCCAACAATATCTAGAGGGCTACAGGTTCCCTCTTCCTGATATTATTGTCTTCCTCTAGGTCTCAGTTGCATTACATTATCATTTATGCCTCATAACATTAATTTCCTCAGAGAGCCATTTTCTGACCAGTGTAGGCGATCAGTTCTCCGAAGCTGAGTTTCATTGCTCCTGATCTTGGAGCATTTCCAGTTAATCATCTCCTTCCTGTTTTCAAATCTATATTTTACAAAACATTCCTTGTAATGGATGTTCATTTCAATAATATTTTAAGAAAGCAATCTGTTGCCTTTGATTCTCTTTACTGGATGTCCTTCTCATTGTGTGGGAAGAAGCTTCTTGTTATATAAGGATATGCGAACATTTATTTATGTATCTTTTGTTATAAGCAAAAGGGTTAAGAGTGAGGCCTTTATCATTTCCTCAAAGGCCTGTTTTGTCTCATGTCAATAAATGTATTTTTGCCAACCCACCAACATTTGTATCAATACTATTCCATTGGAGTGTGTCGATTTAGAACTGTTGGTTTAATGGCTTTTTATTTTGCTGTGCTAATAGTTTGAAGAGTCCCAAGGATATATTGTATGCATGGTGTAGAGTAGCCATTGCTAACCTGGTGCAGTCCAGATGTTTTGAACTGCAACTCCATTAGCCTCAGCCAGCAGTTTCCTAGAATTTCACATTTAAAATTTGGGTTACATGGAATGTCACACTGTGGCTTTGTATTTTTAGTAATGCTCCAATCATTGCCTTTTCATTGCAGGGGTATTGAACACTCTACCATACCCTCCCACCTTCCTCAGTTGAAAATAGGAGCATTTCTCTCTACCTCCCCCAACTGACCCTCCTCGACACCCCATTTTTGTTCCATCCCTGCAGAGCATTTCCTTTCAGAAAAACGCTGAGTGCCACCACCGCTACACCAATGGGACGCAGCACCCATGTCCTTCTTGGTCATGTTCCCAGTTTAGTTAATTTAATTCTTTGGTAGATTTACAAAAAGAAAAACAGATACCAATAAATTTTAGAGGGGGGGCAAGATTAGACATGGATGCACAAAATAATAAAAAAATCAAGACTCCTTGTGCTCTGCTCTGCTCTGCTCCGCTTCACCTTTCTTCCCACCGGGGGGGGGGCTCTGATTTTGGCGGGGAGGACACTCTGATTTCTCCCCCCCTCCTGTTTTGCCTCAAGCCTAAAAAATAACTGAAGCAAAATAACTACCGTATTTTTTGCTCTATAAGACTCACTTTTTCCCTCCTAAAAAGTAAGGGGAAATGTGTGTGCATCTTATGGAGCGAATGCAGGCTGCACAGCTATCCCAGAAGCCAGAACAGCAAGAGGGATCGCTGCTTTCGCTGCACAGCGATCCCTCTTGTTGTTCTGGCTTCTGAGATTCAGGTTATTTTTTTTCTTGTTTTCATACTCCAAAAACTAGGTGCATCTTATGGTCTGGTGCGTCTTATAGAGCGAAAAAATTGGTAGCTTTGATGTGGGAGAAATGGATGAGAATGGGTCCTTCTCAATTTGGTACAGTCTCTCTCTCTCTCTCTCTCTCTCACACACACACACACACACACACACACACACACACAAGTTTATAACCTATAGAATCGTAATTTTTGAAATATAGAGGAGCTTACACACATGCCACAATATTTTGCTGACAGTCACCAAAAAGCAATATACGATGATCCATCTTTAAAACACAAAACATATTTATATTGTTTCCTCCCCCAGAAGAGCAAGAATCTCCATAGCCTAAGCTTATTAAATCACTTGTACAAAAAAGCAACCTATTTGGATGAAAGAAGAAAGCTTGAAATAACTTGGTGAAATAGTGTTGGCTCTCTTGACAGTTTGTCTGAAGCATTAAGCATTCTATCTTCAGATATGTGAATATAAAATAATGCCATGCTTTGGTTTGACATGGATTAAAAATTGATACTGTTTTCAAGAAGATGATCTGAAGTTTGTCTTATGCCAACTGCTTTATTTTTTTTTAAGTAACAAATGACTGACTGGATGAATGAAGCTGGAGAGAGAAACAACATAACCTGCTGCTTTGGTGTATGAAATCCTCATTCAGTCTGGCATGTCTTGGGCAATCAAACATACTTGCTTTAATATCAAGTGTCTGCTACATGGAGAGGAAGTACAGTTGGTTCAGCATAATTAAGCTCAGAGTGAAGGAGAGTGTGCATGCAGACAGACACTTGTAATGCTTAGAGGGCCTTTAATAAACACAGCCATTTAGTTCCTGTTGGAGAGGAAATGTTAACGGACATTCATTCAATCTCATACATGGTTATTGGAGATTGAGTTCTATTATTATTATTATTATTATTATTATTATTATTATTATCACAAACTGATCTGGAAAAGTAGAAAACTGAACATAAGGTTGCAAAAATTAGAAACCCAGAGAAACTGAAATTGACAGGTTTCCTCATCTCTCTAGATTCACACCTTTGTTATACCTATATATGTGGCTTACATTTACTTACAGTGCCTTATTCACAAATGGTTAAAGGTAAAGGGACCCCTGACCATTAGGTCCAGCCGTGACCGACTCTGGGGTTGCGGCGCTCATCTCGCTTTATTGGCTGAGGGAGCCGGCGTACAGCTTCCGGGTTATGTGGCCAGCATGACTAAGCCGTTTCTGGCGAACCAGAGCAGCGCACGGAAACGCCATTTACCTTCCCGCTGGAGTGGTACCTATTTATCTACTTGCACTTTGACGTGCTTTCGAACTGCTAGGTTGGCAGGAGCAGGGACCGAGCAACGGGAGCTCACCCCGTCGCAGGGATTCGAACCACCGACCTTCTGATCAGCAAGTCCTAGGCTCTGTGGCTTAACCCACAGGTTAGTCCACACTTAATGTACTCAGAGTCACTAATTAATCTGTTCTGTACTGATTTTGTACAAAATAAATGGTGTCCAATCACACCTTTGTTGTGACAAAGAATAATTCAAGGTTGCAGAGAGCACAGGAGAGGGGTCCAAGCATGGGGTCCAACATTGGTGAAAGAACCAGCCAGCGCTGGTTAACCATATGCACTGAATCCCCAAATAGAACTAAGATTAGGAACCAGGCATTCACAATTTCAGAAAATGCCATGACAGATGATCCTCTGGGTCTCATCCAACTGTACAGTTATGATTCTAAGATGGGGGCACTCCCTTGTTCATTGCAACAAATATTTTCAAGGAGAAACGTTTGTGTCCTGAGTCCTGACTCAACAGATTTTGCAAGCTAACCATTCCTCACAAAACGAATAAATTTTGAGCTATGGTAATTCAAATGTGGGGAAAACACAAAATAGAGGCCCTCTGCTGCCTTCCAGCAACATATCCACAACTGTTTTGTTGAACTTCAAGTTTAAGCAGCTGTTAATTAAGTTCAAAGCTTAAATCAGGGTTTGATGAAGGACTGTGCAATATGCATTTCCCCTGCGGCAAAATGCATAGACAACTTTGGCAAAGCAAGTGAGTTTGAGTGAGATTGTACAATGGTTGTCTGCAGCCAAAGCACAGCAGCCAGAGATTTTAATAGCAGATCTGCCACTATCTTAGACTGTTGCTCCATAGCAGTCTTTATCGAAAAGGACAATTGATCAGCTAACGAAGAGCACCAACTCAGGTTCTGGCACTTCAGTACATATTACTGCATCAATAAATCTTCTGCTGTGTGCAAATAGACTAAAGTTGTTGATTTCACTTGCTTAATGCTTGTACTCCACAGAAGGCGAACACCGGCACATACTGTAGAAAAACTAGCATAGTATTACAATTTACTTTTGCTGTCTCCATCTGTCACAACGGAGCATATTGAGCTTAAGAGGCTGATTTACATGACACCATATCTAGGCAATTACTCTGGACTCACTCATTTGGAGGGGAGAGTCTCTTCTGAACTTTCAGAGTGCAAACGATTCTGAAAGACATTTCTTTTGTATTTTTAAATCTCCTTTGTGTAATTAAATTGTAGCCTAATCCATCCATGTTCCTTTTATCATTCAGGGTTCAAGTTGGAATTGTTTAATTTTCATGCCTTCCACTTCCCAACCCACCAAGATCCTTAATTTCCCCCAGGATTTTATATATATATATATATGATTTTATTAAGACTTTTCATAATACATTGCAATAAGAAACAAACTAATCTAAACCAAAAAAGGAGAATACAAAGTTCTCTTTCACAAGGTGAAAGAGCAGTTATCCCACACAGCATTTGTCCCACACAGAGAAAGGTGAACCCTCCCAGCTCTCACCTGGGAGCTTCCCTTTCTTCTCCCATCCTCCCACCCTTGGTCGGGAAGCATATGGAGACGAGTAGGGATTGGTACAAAAAGGGAGCTTGAGAAAATGTAAAAAATATTGTGGGGGGAATAGGAGGGCTGGAGCATAAAGGG